TGTTACTCGCAAATCCGGATATACACAGCACACCTGGGGCCACATAGCAAGGTTGCGGGTAGAGAGTGAGTGAGTGTGGACCTGGGGTTCTGTCTTTATTGGGGTCGAGGTTGGGGTGCCTAGAGTTTCACAGGTTCACTACTGGTAAATTTAAAACATAAGAGCAGGAATCATAGCACAAAAAGGGAAAAAAGCAAGTGGTCAAATGGTCAGTTATCTAAGTTAACCAGACCGCTCTAAAAAAGGGAACTCCACGGGTGGAGTGGACTGATTCTTTATCTAGCCATGTAGCTGGTAATGTGTTTATTCGAGATGGATGTCTTTGAAGTGGATACCTTGGCCATCAAAAGCTTAACGTCAGGCCCTTCGTTATAATCAAAAAAGCTAATTGTCAGGAGCTTACACTACAGTACTTATACACCCTAGTATTGTTGTTAAGTATTGAATAACAAAGTACTTAACACAGTGTCAATAAATTTTAGCTAGCTGAAAGAATGTTTCTCACTTCCTCCAGAGGTGAATGGCGTGCAGCTGTAAAATTAGCTCTATATTCTACTCTTTGGAGATTGAGAAAAGAATAAAGGTCATTTAAAAAAATATATCTCCCCTAAACATTTTTACATTTAGAGATTACTATAATCAAGATACTTCATTAAATACAAATATCTCAATATTAAAACGATATGTCATTTATAACTTATTGCAAATTATTTTATCAGATCATCAAAGCCATACTTAAACGGGTCATTAATATAAGTTTTGATTGCAGCTAAATATAATAAAGGGCATTTCGGGATGGGAAGGGAAAGGAATATGAAGATACTAGGTACCTGAGCAGCACAGTCAAGGAAGAGTAACTAGCAAAGGGCTGAGAGAGAGGTGGGAGGATTCCAAAAGATAACTCTACATAGTTATTTTGTCTAGACTTTGTTGTCTCTCTGCTATGGAAAATTATCTCATATCCTATCTTTGACATATAACTTGTCAAGGTTGTAGATATGATATCAGAATAATTGTTTTTTTCAGTTCAAAGATTTCTGGATCAAGCAGAATAACATCTGGACATGATACAGAGAATATCAGGGAGCCTGGATATTGAGCCTGATGCTGTGACTGGATGACACCTTTGAGTATCCTCCTTGCAGAAGGAGAAAGTTTATTTTGAATACTGAAGAAAGAAAAATTAATATTTATGACCAAGAGGGCAAATTGCAGTAGACTACATTATTACTCAACAAATATTCACTCTTCTCCTCCCAGTCCCTGAGAGGATCACCCCATCTGATTGACATTGGCTTGGCCATTTGACTTGGTTTGGCCAATGGAATCTGAGCAGAAGTGCAAGTGTGTTGGTTCCAAGCAGAGGCATTAAGAGGTATTTCAAGTTTCCAGCAGCCCTCATGTTTTCCCGCCTTCCACCAGGAGAATATCATGTCTCAGATAAGGGGTACTCCTTCATCCTGGAATCCAAACTGAGAACATACACAGAGCAAACATCTATCAGCCACCTCAGTTTATGATATGTGTTATGAGCCACAGCTCATCTATATGCGGTGTCACAACTTCCCATCTGATTTCAGATAACTTTCCTTCTACCAATTCACAATAATTCATAAGCTGTAACCTTTCTAATGCCCACTTCCAAAAGCAAACATGATTTTTTTAAGGTAAAGTGACATTTATTGCAGCATTTATATATTTCTTTACCATTTAACAAGTTCTGTTTTTATTAACTTTTATCTTTTCTTTTTTTTATGTCACAAAGTTTTTGAGTGTGGTGCCCCAACCTCATTTTTCCAATAAGCCCTGTGGTTTTTATTGCACAATTTAGCAGTGCATAGTGCATTTTAGGAACACATGTATCACATTACAACATAACTGACTGTATCTTAAAAATAGACACAGACAAATATCCATAATCCAAAGAGACAAGTTCTATAACTAAGCCACATAGGGATGAAAAAGCAACTGAGCTAAGGTGACATCTTAACCATATGACTTAATCACCTACCATAGGCCCCACTGCCAATCACATTGGGGGAACAAGTTTCAACATATTTAGGGGAGAGGGGCACAAATATTCAGTCTATAGCATTCTGCCCTTGATGCCTCCAAATTAATGTTCTTTTCACATTCAAAATATATTCATTCTATCCCAACACCCCCAAAAGTCTTAACTCATTCCAGCATTGAAACTGGCAGACAGTTAGCCATTGATAATCAAGCAGCTACTAACTACGGGGGATGGGAATTGGCCACTTCAAAATATGTCTCTGCCTAAAAGACACTTTGACCCCTACCCCCACTAACTGACCACAAGAGTTTGGGATTGGAGGCCTGCCCCCAGAACAGGCCATCACCATAGACACCTCCAGGAATCTAGGAGGGTCCTTGCTAAGCCCATTCTTAGTTCTGGTTACCCTTTGTAAGAGATATTTACATTTGTAAAGGAAATCTCCATTTGTAAAGGTATCTTCTTCCCTGTACCAGGAAGAAGGAGGGGATGGCCTTACCTAGAAACTTATCAGAACAGAAGGCAAAGACTTAAATCTGCGCAATAAACTTACTCACTGTTAACTGTGCTGTTCAGGCACATGCTATCTGACTCCCACTAGGTTCCTATAGATAACATCTCCCTGGAAGCCTGGGTCAACATGGTAATGGGTGTTTGAGCTATTTTTTTCAGGAATTGGAACCCCTTGTCCACTTCAAGCCTGTTGAGACCACCAACCTATCAACTAGGCCCAGGCAGACATATATCTGATAAGTGACATTTTGATGTCAAGAGGTTAAGACTCCACCCTCAGGGCATGCTAACGCTGCCATCCTGTGAACATGCATCCTACGAAGGAAGCCTGACTACGCTTGCCCAGATCATCAATTACCTCATCTCTCCTGACCTCCAATCATTTCAGACCACCCTGACCCCTACCCCATAAATATCCCTGAGTCCCTATTTTCGGGGAAGCAGATTTGAGATTCATTCTCCCATTTCCTCACTTGGCTGCCTTGTGATTATTAAACCCAATCTCTCTGCTGCAATCTTGTCCTCTCAGTCTCAGTGTTGGGCTTTCTGGGCGGCGGGCAAAAACAGACCTGGTACAGTGCCAGCATCAACTCAAAAGTCTGAGTTCAAAGGCTAATCTAAATATCATGTAAATCAGGTTTGGGTGAGACTCAAGGTATGATTCATCCTGAGGCAAACTGCTCTCCAGCTGTGAGCCTGTGAAATCAAATAAGTTATGTGTTTCCAAAAGACAATGGTGGGACAGGCATAGGATAGACCATTCTGCCCTCCAGGCCCACTGGGGTAGAGGTTTCGCTTACAGGACACACTGGGGCAGCATTCCTACCCCTGTAACTTTGCTGGGCAGAGGTTGGGCCCCAAGGCTCCCAGCAGCCCTGCCCCCACAGACTTGGGTGGCTCCTGTCCTTTGAAATCTAGGTGGAGGCAGCCATGTCCTCTAGGCCTGTGCACTTTTCGCTGGTGGAGATGGTTTACTCCATCAAAGTTTGCCTGCACTCTCCGGAGAGACAGCTTCTGCACCAGGGACTGCCAGAGCCACACCTGGGGCAGCCAAGGAGCTCAGTGCCCACATTGCATCAGCAGAGCCCTCACTGTGAGGCAGCACCAGACAGCGAGCACAAGGTCTCCAAGCACTGGCAGCTCCTCCTCTGAAACCACTTTGACCCCAGGGCTCTCGTACAAGGGCAGCACTGATGATTTCTGAATTGCCTTCAGGGTCATTCTATCATTGTCTTAGGGAATAGTTCCTGGCTTCTGTTGAGATATCTAAACCATACTAATCTTTTCAAATGGTCACTTGGCCACAATCTTAGCATTCTCTTCCAACCAGGTTTTCTCATTTTTCACAACACGGATAAGCAGGGAATTTTCCAAATCTTTAAGTTCTGCTTCCTTTTGGTTAACAATTCTGACTTTAAGTTATTTTTCTCTTTTTGAATTTTACTATAAGCCATCAGGAAAAGTCAAACTACACCTTCAACACTTTGCTTAGAAATTATTTCAGGTAAATAGCCAGTTTCATTGCTCACAAGTTCTACCTTCCACAAAACACTAAAACAAACACAATTCAGGCAAGTTCTTTGCCACTTTACAACAAGGACCACTCTTCCTCCAGTTTCTCACAGCATGTGCCTCATTTCCATCTGAGACCGCATCAGAATGGCCTTTATCATACATATTTCTACCAATATTTTGTTCAAAATTAATTAGTATTCTCTAAGAAGATTGAGGTTTTCTCTACAGCTCTCCTCTTTTCTTTCTGAGTCCTCACCAAAATTGCCTTTAAAGGTCCATTCACAACGATGTAGGCTTTTTCTAGCATGTACCTCAAAACTCTCCCATTACCCATTACCCAATTTCAAAGCCACTTCCACATTTTTAGGAATTTGGTACAACAGCCCTCCCACTTCTCAGTATCAGTTTTTGTTTTAGTCCATTCGGAATGCTGTAACAAAAATACCATAGACTAGGTGGCTTATAAACAACAAAGATTTATTTCTGACAATTCTGGAGGCTGGGAAGTATAAAATCAAGGCGCCAGCAGATTTGGTGTCTAATGAGGACTCAATTCCTGGTTCATAGATGGTTTATCTTCTGATTCATCTTCTTGCTATGTTCTCATATGGCAGAAGGGGCAAAGGAGCTCCCTGGGGTCTCTTTTATAAGGGTACTAATCCCACTGATGATGGATCCACCTCACATTACCATCACATTAGAGGAATAGGTTTCAACATGAATTTTGGGGGAACACAAACATTCAGTCTATAGCACTAGCCCCAGGCATCTTTACCCTAAATTCTACTCTAGTAAAATGTTCTCATTTTATATGCATGTGAAAACACAACTGTCAGCCATACAAGCATTTTAAAAAAAGCCAAAAAAGAATACATTATACATGTACATTGCATCAGAGTAGCATAATTAAAGCAATGATCTATTAATAAGAAAAAATACACTGTTTTTTAATACTTACCACAAGCTTTAGAAGCAGCAACACAAATTTCTTCCGCAACATACTCCCCAGTTGGAAACTTCAGGTAATCTCCCTCAGCTTTCAGGTAATCTCCCTCAGCTTTCTCAAGGGAATGATAAAGATACACCTGTAGGACTGGATCTATTTGCTTCACAGAATTAGCATTTCCGGGAATATCACCATTCTGATGTATAGGAGATGTGGATGTTCCTTCCATTTCTGTCATTGTAAGGCAAGCCATTCCCATGCAGTCTTTTTCAGAACATTGGTCTGTAATAAAAAAAGTTATGAAAGTGATATTGATAAGCTATCCTTCATATACAAAGAAGTCTTCACTGAAAGCAGTGACTCTGTCAAATCCATTAAGTGAATAAATTTTGTGTACTACTATATACAAAGCACAGTGAGAGACATCAAGATTATAAACTTCCTGTAAACAAGGACAATAAAACTGAAGTTTATAGCCTAACTAAAGAACCATAATATAAATATGTGACACTAACAAAACAAAAAAAATCAGTTACAGACAACAGAAGAATAGATCCCATGAGGAGACATGATTTCTCAACAAATGAATTACTCTGACAATTGCTTATTGGTACCTGGAGGGGAAAAACAACATTTCAAGCCAGGATTAACTGATGAGTTTTATTAGAGGAGGTCATATTCAAAACTGATCTTGAACAATGGATTGGATTTAGATGGATTAAAGAGGAAGGACAATCCAGGAAAGTAGAACTGTGCTAAAGAGTAGAAAAGTATAAGATATGTTCAGTAATTTATTGGGCTGAATGAAGCATTTGAGAAGTTATACCACTTAGGAAAGGATTAAAAATTCAGATGGATACTTGTAGCAAAATTGCAACTACATACCCAATATGCATTTTCCCTTCTTCCTTGATACAGAAACCCAATTTTGTTGGGGATATCAATGTACCCCAAAAAAACCGTACTTTGCCACAGACGGATAGCCAGGTGAACTAGTTTCAGCAAATGAGATTTCAGTGAAAGCTGCTGGGTAGTATTTTCAGGATCACTCCTTAAAAGGAGGCTGACTTAGCTGGCATGCCTCCTTTTGCTTTTTCCCCTTCACCTTCTGCCTACCTGAATCTGATCATGAATATAGGGTAGGGCAGTGACCTTAAAACCGTAATGCAACCATGAAGGAAAAGGCCAAGAGAATAAAAGACCTGGCAAACTCAAGCAGATGAATCAATGTCAAGAATAACCCACCTACCACCAGACATCTTGTTACTTGCAAATGAATGCAATCCTAACTGATACTGTACAAAATGAAGGAAGGTCTGAACATCAGACCAAAAAATTTAAACTTTATCCCATAGCCAATGATGAATTAGAAAGGTGAAGTGATGAATGGTTAGAAAGCTACTGCAATAGTCTAGGCAGTCGTACGATTCTGAACTGAAACAGCTACCGACAAATGATGAGAGGTAATATAACAGCAAGATGACACAACCTGGTAACTAAATGAATATAGAAGAAGCCAGGAGTCAAAGACAGTGTGAGGATTTCAAACTTGGGAGATCGGTAATACCATTAATGGAAATAAAGAAATGAAAAGGACTTTGCCCCTTAACATTGGAAAGTGAGGAGAAGGAGGACTACTGTTTTACACGCTTTCATTTAGAAACGGAAGTAGGGCAATTACACCAAAATTTAGCTGGCAGCTAAAACATGAGATTGATATTTGGAAGACCTGAAAATTTGACAACCTTTCTCATAGATGTAATAATCATTTAAATCACAAGCCAAGCTATGTGAAAGGAGAGGATGGGACTAAAAGCAAACACACTCATACAGTATTTACTAAGTGCCAAGCACTGCTTTAAGCACAGATATTAAAGAAAGAAAAAATGATTATTGTGTAAGTGAATTGCAACATGAAATTTAGTTCTATATTTAACTATAAGGACTTTATTCTATTAGAGAAAATATTAGAGTTAATACTTAGTTATTCAAACAATATGGGACTATCAGCATATAAAAACAAAACAAAACAAAAACCTGGCAATTGTTAACAAAACTGTAAGATTTTTGAACTTCACCTGCAATTGGATATGCAAATTTAAACAATTTTAACTTGTTCAAAAATACAAAATTTAAAAAATATTTCTTTTACTCTATTATAACTGTCTCTTTATTACTCAATTATAGAAGTGATCTAAAATGAATTCTTAGTCATTAAAGAGCTAACTTGCTAGAATATCATCAATTTGTGCTCACCATCATTTTGAATCCTATGCCTTCCTTCTGGACTCACTTTTTCCTCCTGAAATGTATCTTTTAGTAGATCTCTCGGCGAGGCCCTAAGTTTTCAAATCATGGTATTTGTTTGAAAAAAATTTTTCCAGCTATATTGAGGTATAACTGATAAATAAAATTGTAAGATATTTAAAGTATACAACATGATGATTTAATACATTTATACGTCGTGAAAGGATTCCCCCCTATTGAGTTAATTAATATATCCACCCATCATATTTACCCTTTTTTTTGGCGGGGGTGGGGGTGGAGGGAGAGGGTAGACATTTAAGTTCTACTCTCTTAGAAAATTTCAATTATACAATACCGTGTTATCAATTATAGTCATCATGCTGTACATTAGATCCTCAGACCTTATTTATCTTATGACTGAAAATTTGTACCCTTTAACCAATCTCTCCCTACTTCGTCCAATCCCCAGATCCTGGCAACCACTTTTCTACTATCTGTTTCTTCGAGTTAGACTTCTTTTTTTAATAAGATTCCACATATAAGCAATACTATGCAGTATTTGTTGTGCTGTCTAGCTTATTTCACTTAGCATAATACCCTCCAGGTTCATCCACGTTGTCACAAAGAACAGGTATTCCTTTTTTAAGGCTGCATATAATTCAGCCTTAACACACACACACACACACACCATACTTTCTTGATCCATTCATCCATTGACAGATACTTAGGTTGTTTCCATACCTTGGCTGTTGTGAATAATGCTGCAATGAACATGGGAGTACAGATAACTCTTCAGCATAATGGTTAAGCTTCCATTGGATATATACTCAGAATTGGGATTGCTGGATCATATATATAGTAATTCTATTTATTATTTCTTGAAGAACTTCATATTGTTTCTGTAGCGGCCGTACCAGTTTACATACCCACCAACAATGTACAAGGGTTCCCTTTTCTCCACATCCTCTCCAGCATTTATTACCTCTTGTCTTTTGGATGATAGTCATCCTAACAAGTGTGAGGTAATATTTCATTGTAGTCTTGATTTGCATTTCCCTGATGATTAGTGATACTGAGCACCTTTTCATGTACCTGTTGGCCATCTTTACGTCTTTGGAAAAATGTCTATTCAGGTCCTTTGCCCATTTTTTAACTGGGTTATTTGGAGATTTTTTGCTATTGAGTTGCATGAGTTCCTTGTCTATTTTGGCCACTATCCCCTAGATAGTTGGCAAATACTTATCCCCATTCCATACACTGCCTTTTCATTTGGTTGATGGTTTCCTTTGCTGAGCAGAAGCTTTTTAGTTTGATGTAGTCCCACTTGTTTATTTTTACTTTTGCTGCCTTTGCTTTTGGTGTCAAATCGAAAAAAATCATTGTCAAGATCAATGTAAAGGAGATAACCCCTATGTTTTCTTCTAAGAACTTTATGGTTACAAGTCTTATGTTCAAGTCTTTAATCCATTTTGAGTTGAATTTTGTGTATGATGTGAGATAGGGGTTTGTTTCATTCTTTCACATGTGGCTATCCAGTTTTCCTAACACCATTTATTGTAGAGACTATCCTTTCTTGTATTGTATATTATTTGTACCCTTTGCTTGTTTGTCAAAAATTAATTGACCATATATGCATGGGATTATTTGGGGGCTCTCTATTCTGTTCCATTAATCTATGTGTCTGTTTTTATGCCAATATCATATCGTTTTGATTACTACCACTTTGTAATATAGTTTGAAATCAAGAAGTATGATGCCTCCAGCTTTGTTCTTCTTTCTCAAGATTGCTTTGGCTATCTGGGGTCTTTTGGTGTTCCATATAAATTTTAGGACTATTTGTTCCATATCTGTGAAAAATTCCAGTGGAATTTTGATAGAGATTGCATTGAATCTGTAGATCACTTTGAGTAGTATGAACATTTTAACAGCATTAATTCCTCCAGTCCATGAGCATGGAATATCTTTCCATTTATATGTATCTTCTTTGATTCCTTTCATCAATGTCATATAGTTTTCAGTGTATAAATATTTCATCTCCTTGGTTAAATTTATTCCTAAGTATTTTATTCTTTTTGATGCTATTGTAATAGGGATTGTTTTCTTAACACTTTTACTCTTCCTTTCTGACTTGGATGCCTTTTATTCCTTTTTCTTGCCTAATCGCTCTGGCTAGCACTTCCAGTACTATTTTGAATAAAAGTGGTGAGAAGAGGTATCCTTGTCCTGTTCCTAATCTTAGAGGAAAAGCTTTCAGCTTTTCACCATTGAGCATAATATTAGATGTGGGCTTGTCATATGTGCCTTTATTATATTGAGGTATGTTCCTTCTATACCCAATTTGTTGACAGTTTTTACCATGAAAAGATGTTGAATTTTGTCAAATTCTTTTTCTGCATCTATTGAGATGATCATATGATCTAACTTGATCTAACTGTAGTTTAATTCCAATGTTTCCTTATTGATTTTCTGTCTAGATGACCTATCCACTGTTTAAAGTGGGAATATTTAGTAGTTTAAGATTTTTTACTTTATCAGCAATGTTCTGCAATTTCACTGCAATGGTCTTGGTATAGATTTATTTTTATTTACCTTGATCAAAATTCACTATAGACTTTTTTTTTTTAATTTTATTTATTTATTTTTTCCCCCAAAGCCCCAGTAGATAGTTGTATGTCATAGCTGCACATCCTTCTAGTTGCTGTATGAGGGACGTGGCCTCAGCATGGCCGGAGAAGCGGTGCGTCAGTGCGTGCCCGGGATCTGAACCCGGGCTGCCAGCAGCGGAGCGTGCGCACTTAACCGCTAAGCCACGGGGCCAGCCCAATTTTTTTTTTTTTTTGTGAGGAAGATCAGCCCTGAGCTAACATCCATGCTAATCCTCCTCTTTTTGCTGAGGAAGACCGGCTCTTCAGCTAACATCTACTGCCAATCCTCCTCCTTTTTTTTTCCCCCAAAGCCCCAGTAGATAGTTGTATGTCACAGTTGCACATCCTTCTAGTTGCTGTATGTGGGACGCGGCCTCAGCACGGCCGGAG